AGTATTATAATTTATGAATAGTTCCAATCTAGCTAGTAGATGTTTGAAGTTTTACTGTGAGAGCACTCAAGAATAGTTTATTTCAAAATAAAGTTTACAGGACAGGGTATCTTTTATTAAATTTTCACATAAAAAGAAAAAAGTACACAGGGTACTAATTATAAGTAACACCACAATTAACTGGGTATCATCTCTCTAAAGAATAGGTAAGCAATCAATCATTTTAGTAACATTTTTTCCTGGTCTTTCACTTTCTGTATCCTCTTTTCTTGATTTCTGATCATTGAAGACATTGCTGAAAATGTTGATAAAACAAAGTTAGAATAGCAAAATCACTCAGACTTTAAATTCTGTTACGTGCTTCTTAAGAGATTAGTTTGTTAGTAGAAAATAAGATACATTCTGTGCTCAAGTTCTTAAAAATCGTGATGTAGCATATTTTTGAAAAAGTTAATGTCATGGAACAGATCTAAGGGTAAATCTTTACTCATTCAGTTGTTTTAAATGAGCATAATTATTATAAAAGTTGTACATACTAATAATTCAAAATTGCAAATAATTCAAACACCTCGGAAGGGTACAAAGAACGATTAAGGTCGGTCTTTCTCTCTGTTCCCTCCATCTGCTGGAATCTCCCTCCTCCTCAGAGGTCAGTACTATGAATGTAAGCGGTTTGGTAAATATCTGCACACGCACACACGCACACACACACGCACGTGCACACGTTTTCTTCTTCACACAAATAGAAATATGTGGTGTAAGTTGTTCTGAGCTTGCTTTTTTTCATTCAACAAAGTGTCAACATCTTTTCAGTTCAGCTCATGTTTTGTTATGAGTGCACAGTATTTCATTAATGGACGTACCAAAAACGTTAGTAAATAAATAAAAAAGGTTACTTTCTTATTTTTCTTTATAAACAATGCTATAGTGAATACTTTTGTATACAGACTTTTGTGCATTTGTACAATCATGTCTTGTAGAATAAATTGCCAGAAGTGGGATTTCTTGCTCAAAGGTATGTGCATTTTAAGTTTCGATAACGCTCCCAAACTCCTCTCTACAAATGTTTGTTCCCAAACTTCTAGGTCACATCCCATACAGACATTACACCCAATAAAAAGGTCTTTTTAAATTTATTAGACAAATACAACACATCTTCCACGTATATTATTACATGGTGGCATAAATCGAATAAACTCAGAAATATGTTAAAGTGTGAACAAAAATAGGGCCAATAAGATAATGCATCTTTCTTAAAAAAAAACTCACAATAAACTTACAATCAAATGTTTTTACTGATGTTTTATATACATAGGGATCTGGGGTTATCAAAGGGATTTGGAATTTTCTCTAACAACAATTTACTAATCTTAGTGTATTAAAAACTATGTGGATTTGGAGGCAGAAACTGCAGGGATCAAATCCCAGCTCTACTTCACATTGCGTGACTTAGAATTTCTTGATCGATTGTGCTCTTGGAAATGACTTTCTTCATTTTCCAATGATGTAATAATACTACCCACTTGTCAGTATCGTGAGGATCACATGAAAAAAATGCAAGTGAAGTTCTGAGAATAGGGCCTGGCACATAGTTGGGAAGTGCTCAATAGATGCTAATAATAACTATTATTATTGATAAGGTTAAATTTAGTTTATAAATATTTGTCCATAGCAAAATATTTATTTTTCTTCATCCAGCAATTCGTATTCTCTAGGAATAGAAAGATAGAATAAGAATAACAGATATACTCCAAAATTAATTTCTCTCTGCCAAAGGCTCCTGGATTCACAAAGTTATGTCAGGGAAGCAAGAAACATGATAGCTCCCCCATATCCACAGGACTTAGAATGTAGGGCCAAAAAGCTGCCCATCACCTGCAGATTACAATAGTTTCTTATTCAAATAGCTTTAGCGTTTTTAGAAGTGGCATATCTTTTTATTTTGTGACTCACTGGGTGACAGACTCTTACAGTGCTATGCTAATTATTCCTGTGTAAGGCTAAATACCATTCTTTTGCTTTCTGGCTACTGACTGCAACCCTGTCTTGTTTGTAGACCTAATAGGGACAAGAAAGACAGTGTGTGAGAAAGTCCCATGGGAACGGCCACTCGAACATGTGTCCTCCTGGGGGCTGTCAGCAGGATATCATCCCTGTTAGGTAACGCCGTTGCCTGCTCACAGTCACATTGATTAATCAATCCAGGGCTAGTCACGGCCTAAGACCTCATATTTGGACGAGGGTTTCTGAACTGCTCATTTAATACCCTTTCAGTGGGTCTACCGACAGGAGGCTTACCCTGAAGGGAAGGTGGGCATTCTTATGAGTGAGAAAGACTTCTCCAAAAATGTACACTGTACCTTGGTTCTTCATCTGTAAATCTTCTACCAGAGTTTGCAAGCTTTCCAGTCTGTTCTGAAGCTTCCTGCATGTTTTTCCTGTTGTTTCTATTGGCGGAGACTGTGAATCTATTAGAAAATTGCTTAGATGTGACATTAAAAGTCTATTCAGTATTTCTTTTTAGAAATCTTCCAATTACAGGCTATACAACTTTTCCTTTAAAATAAAGGAAACTTTTTTCACGTGATGGGTTTTACGGTAGACAAATTCTAAAAGAGCTGTAACACTCAAACTTTAAAACACTATTTTAAACAGAAAAAAATGTTTTATCTAAACATTGAAATGCCAGCTTATATGATTTTGTTTCAAACCAATCAGATTTGCTGTTGTTTAACTACCTGGTGTGGGTGAGAAGACCACTTTGAGTTTAATAATACATTCTGAATATAAGTGACAGCTTTTGACGCCAAGCCTGAGTGGTGCCGTTCACTCGGGGTTTGGAGGAGCGCGATCTAACGCAGACACTGGCACCGTTTCTGAACGTGTGTGAGGCCAGTGCCCGTGCAAGTTCTGCCACCGGAGTGAGGATGGTCTTTCACGATGGGGAGGGGCAGTGTAGACACTGCCCAGCCACAGTGGACCTAGAACATATGCGGCCGTAGCAACTGCAGGGGCCTGGAGGTTATAAGCTATTCTCTGATAAGTAGGCTAAGTTTTGTCAACCTCTAAAAACACCTCATTGTTAATCTGAAGATTTAAAATTTAATCTTAGCCCCTGACTAGCTGTATAATCTTGAGAATATTTTTGATGGTTCATTTTCCTATCAAAAACACCCTTTTCACTACAGAAATCAGTATTAAAGGCAATTATCTAGAAATTATTTTAGTTCGAGGGGATAATAAAATTTCTTAGACAGATTTTCAATATAAATCGCATAAAATATGTAATGTTTGATGATAATCTGACAGTAGGGGGAAGCGAAGAAAATGCCATGCCACTGTGTGACACAATGAAGAGGTGACAAGCGGCACTGCTTCACTCCTGCAACAAATCGCAGCTCTCACAGGTAAACGACACTTTAAATTTTTAAAAACACTAAATGAATAGCTTAGAAACATATGAGATGAAAGAGGATACAGGTGCAGAAAGACAGTAGAAAAGAAAATGTACTAACCTATGTGATCGGGTATTTTTTCAGGATCTAGAAATATGTAAGGCATATGCCTTTGTTAAAAGGATTTGTTCTGTAAAATTTGGATTCAGTCAAAAGGCTGCACTCAAGGGTCCAGAAGGCTGCATGTGGCCCCAGAGCCACAGGTCCCCACCCTGAAAGGACGAGGAACTGACAGTGACGCACGCTGGCCCGTTTTATCCCGTACGAAAGGGAATGACGTCATGGA